CCTCAACCTTCACTACTTCTTCGGATGTGAGCGCGGTTTCACTCGCGCCGCGCCCGCCGCTCCGCTCCCGTCCGCTCCGCACCGCTCCCCGCGGGAGACTGTACGGGTCCGGCGCGGAGCCGCCCCTCTCCAGCCATGACTTAGCGGCCGGCCGGCCCGAAAATGAGTTTCTCCGCGGAGGACAGCGTGGGCAGCCTCTGCCACAAAGCGCTTCAAATCATCTCCGAGCTGTGCCTGGGCGGGCAGGTGGAGCGGGAGAAGTGCGCCGGCATCTTCCCACTGGAGACCGCCCGACAGGGCATCGGCGGCACAGGTACCGCTAGTGGCCCCGGCCCCGCCGCTCCCGTCCTGCAGCCGCCGCGTGGGCGGCCGGAGAGCGCAACTTTTTCCTTTGCCTTCCCTGCGTGCCGAGGGGGCGGACGGCGATGGGGGGAAGGGGGGGCGGGGGTTGCAGGCACGCAGCCTGCTTTAAAATCCTCTCAACCTGGAGGCTTCGCGTCCGGAGCGCAGCTAGGAAAGCGCCGCCGGGCACTTCGCATCTGGGGTGGGCTCATCGCCGCGGGGACGGGTGCGGGAGTGGGGAGCACAGAGAGGAATCGAAGTGGGTGAGATCCTCTCCGACGTGCGAGCGTTGCGGTGAGCTGAAGCCACGCCGCCGCCACTCACCCGCTGCCCCTGGCGACTTCCTTACCCTCAGGTTTTCCGTGCGGCGGGGACGGCGGTGGGGCAGGGGCTGTGCTCGCCACTGCTATCACGGGTGGGACGCGGCACGCGTGGGGTAGCCGCCGAGCTCCGCGCCCCGTACGCTGAGAGTCGGGAGAGCGCGGTGTGGGATGGCCGTATCCACCCGGTAAAGGCTTAGGGCTGAGGGAGAGCTCTGCCTGCCGGCAGGGTGCCATAAGGTCGGGGCAGAACGGCGGTCCAGGACTCGTCTGAGAAATGTGGGGGGAGAGAGGAGGGAGTTCGGGTTAATTGAAATGTTTCGAAGCCAGAACAAAATGTCGGGGTTGAAACCAGGCACGACTTCAACTCCTAGTGTTGTTTGGTCATTGATTTGGGGGCTGTCTGGGTCTTCTGGAAGCAGCTCCACTTTTTTTCCTTTCTCCGTACAGAATGCTCCAGAGCTGTTGTTGGCCATCGTGTGTATTTTGCGGTCAGGGCTTGTAAATAAGACCAAGATCTTTATTTCTGTCAGAAGTGATCATATTCTATTCTGTCAGTGCACAAATGGAGCGGGACAGCTTGCATTGTGCACAACAAATACCAAGTATACAGTGCAAATTGAATAAATTGAACACCAAGTTGTGAAAGGCAGCAGGTACTGAGCATGTGCCCCAGCCAGGCTGTTGCTACCACAGCAGCTGTTGATATTTTATTTTTTTTTCTTCTAGTGCCCACAGATTTGTTCTGCAAATTCGTCTCCTCCCTCCTTCCCCCCCCCCCAAAAAAAAAAAAAACAACCAAACAAAAAAAACACCTGTTGCTGCTGCCTTCCTTACAGAGGAGCAGTTCTTCTTTCAGACTCCAATACCTGTATGTTCCTTCCAGGATTTTGTGCTTGTATTTGCAGCTGGTGAGGGTTGCAGGACTCTGGGGCCAACCCATCAGGGCAGTGGAGTGTGGGGGGTAGCGTGCTTCCAGATCGTGGGTTTGGCTGTGCTTTGGAAATACAAACTACTGTGTACAGTTCAGCCATACGCTCTTTGAGTTGTCTTGGTGCAAATCATAGAATGTTGCCTGAAACAGAATGATGAGTCTTTGAAAACTGGGCTCTGAAAAGATTAGCTTCTCTTTCTGATTTGTAGAGAATACTGTACAGGGAGTCAGTATTAGGTGTCACGTAGTAAGAAAGTGTATATTTACATACATAGGTGGGATACAAAAATGTCCCATAGTGTAAACCAAGACTTGCTGTTTAGAAAATTTAAATCTCCAATATGAAGTGCTTTCATATTGGACTGTAAACAGTGCTTTTGAAGAGTTGTCTACATTTTTGAACAATTGTCTATGTTTCTTCAAAGTCAGCAATCTACTTATCTTTTGCATTTGAAAACTCTAAGTAACAGAATTGTTAGATTGGAAACTAAGTGATGATTAACAGATACTGAACTTGAGCCACTGGGTGCCACATCTCAACTGAATTCCTAAATCTCACTTTTTCCTCCTTAAAAGGAAAATAGTAAAGGTATCAACTGTATTAGCATATGTGTTAAAGTAAACATCGCCTTATTAATTAATAAAAATGCTAGCAATCACATTTTAATACTTTGTGACTCCAGAGGAAGAGCAGGCACACAGTTGTTGATAACTGACAGTATTTTTGTATGTAAACACTTGAGTAGACAAGATGTAAATATTATTCACTCGAGTTTTCTGAAAGTGAAAGGTTGTCAATACAGTGTTTAGGCTGAGAGAAATCTGGTCATGGAAAGGCCAGCCATGTCACAGAAAGGTTTGTCTTCTTCTCTCCAAACGCACATAGAGTATCTTTCCAACACTGTGGGTGAAGTAAGTGCTGTCCACAGTGCTGAACATCCCCATCTGCAGTTTGTTAAAGGTAGAAACCCAAAGTGTTCTCTGTTCTGAGACTGAAGTCATAGATGTGTAGTATTGAAACACTGCTGGAATGGTAGCAGTTGTGAGAGCCTGTATCCAGTAGACAAATCCTCCTGTAGCTTAGTAAATTCTGCACAGGTGTCATGCAACACTAGCTTTATGGTAAAGAGGAGCATGGGCTAATTTAGCCCTATTTTGCATTAGCTTCTCCAGCAACCTGATGTGGAAAGCTCTTTCACAGTTATTTGTGGTCTGGAGCTCTGTGCAGCACATTGGACATTAGCCCCTGTAGCAAACACTGAGGCATGCAGCGAAGAAACTACTGTAGTCAGAGTAAGAAGATAGTTGAGCTGTTAGAAGGAGTTCTGGAGGCTGTGAGAGGGTGATTACAGAATAATGGTTTATTATAATACGTTATTATAGAATCACAACTAAAAATTCATTGAAAATTCAAAAAGCAAATAGTGTGGAAGGCAGCGTAAAAAGAAATACAAAAAGAAAATATAATAGTTGCCTATATAGCAATAGCATATTTTTCCTCTGTGTTCATTCAGTTTTCTTCACCTAAAAATCGAGTTGCCTGAAAGTGTCACGAATGTAGTATAAATGAGAATCACTGATGAGATTTCAGTGGAGAAAAGAAGGCTAAAAGATGAGAAGACCTATATTTGGAAAGGAAATAATAGTACAGAAACATTTCAGAAGGCAAAAGAGTGGATGGTAAAAAGGAAACAAACCTTTTCTATTTAATACAAAGATAAAGTGATGTTCTGGAACTTAGAACATGAAAATTGGCAACAAGAGCTGCTGTGATCTGGTTGTGTTGGTGGGTGTGATAACTGCTTTCTGTTCAGCTGAATAAAGCAGTTGACCTTCTCAGAGGAATCACAACCACAGCCCAGGCTCAAACAAAAATATGAGACAACATTGACTTTGTGACCCAACAAGTTTCACTGACAAGTGGAAAGCTTGGAAACTGCTTTATTGTTGTTATTGTTTTGACAGTATAGATGTCTAGAAGCACAGCAAGGGTAACAGAATCAAACATGAACAAAGAGGGAACCAGAGACACAGTCAGACCAAAGAAAATAAAGGAGAGTATTGCTTTGGAAAGGCAGGATACAAAAAGAAACAACAAAGCAGGAAGGAGAGCTGCTCTGGTTTAATGCTAACAACAACAACAATAATAATAATAATAATAACCACCTCCAGGCATTTGACTCCCTGTGTTCTCAAAGAAATAAAGATTTGAACATTCTTTGCAGACAAACAGGACTACATCAAAGAAATGGCTGATTCTTCAGCATCTTTTCCTCTTAGTGGCAACAACAAAACATTTTGACCCTCAGTTTCTGCTCACCACTTGGGTCAAGAAAGGGTAATCATATTTCGTGTAATGGATAATTAATCTATGGAACTCATAGTAACGAATCTTATGGAGAGAAATCATTTTGTAAATTTCCCAGAGCTTTGGACAATTAGTGAAGATACAACATCTGCTGTTATATTTTCTACCCTGGTAATTACAAGGACTATTAATTATCTTGTCCCAAGGGGTGTACTCAAGAAAAAAAAGATTAGGAAGCTATTTACATTTATGGTGCCTTTATATAGTCAGATGATTCTGTGAGCGTTCTTCAGAAAAGTATAATGTTTTTTGGCAAAATGCTGAATTAGAGGTGCAACTGATTTATTTTTACACCTTTACTTCCAACAGCTTTGGGCAAAAGTATTTTTCAAATAATGGGAAGAGTTTGGTGGAACACGTGTGGGAACTAGATGTGCAGGATTGCACCCATCAAAATTTAATGCAAATTATTTTCTAGAAATCTCCAAAATTCATTATGTGCAGCTTGGTTTTACCTGTATTTATACTCAGGTTGTGTGAGCAATAAGGAACTCTAGTTCATTTTCTTGCCAGTTAAGCATCTCCTCATTCTAAGGAGCCAGGCACATCAAAATCCCAGTTGGGAGCATTTCTGAAGCTTAAGGCAGTTACAAGAACTGTACTAGGAGGAGGATAGGCACCCTGCTCTGGGGACATGTTTAAATCTCACTGCCATCCCACATCCTCTGCAGATGCTGACCACTTACTTACTGCTGTCTTTGCTTTGCTAGGCCAGATAGGCCTGCAAACTCAAGAATCTCATTATCAGTTCTCATGGGAAAACTGTGTTTTTAACAGAGCTGGGAAGTCAGTTGTTTCCCTGCCAGGAGGTCATATTTTAGCCAGCTAGAGGGTGGCTGGAGAGCTAGGGGGTTGTTTGTTCTTGCTCATTTGCTTGTCAGGCAATGAATTCGTTTTAAGTTGACCATGCAGAGAGCATCGGCTTATACAGGTCTGTTTGTTATTCACCTAAATATTCTAATCACAATTATTTTATTTTTATTATCATTATTTTTATTTACTTTAACGTAACAAGCTTCTAGCCCTATCCCTGAATGAAAATTTGCTACAAAAGTATAGGAGTGAGAAAACACTGCACAAAACACAACATAGGCTGCAAGTATACTTGAAAGGAAAATATTTCTTCATAAGGAAGTAACAGTTATTTGAAACAATTGAGCATTTTATTGCAGAGAAAAGTGATAAAATTAAATGATAAATTTAAAAGACAGACCAAATTATTTGTGATGTTACTCGTCACCTGATCAGAGCAAAACTATTATCAGAGAGAAATATGATTTGGGGAAAAAAAGTAAAGAGTGCAGGGTTACTGAAAACTGTGTTTTCTGAAATGTTTATTAACAAGCTGT